GCACTTACTCCTGTCCTGTTGGGTGAACATGTGGTGTGTGCTACAACGGGAAGTTACACACACACACACACACACACACACACACACACACACACACACACACACACACACACACACACACACACACACACACACACACATATATGTATGTATACATACGTATATATATGTATACTTACGTGTATGTATGTATATATACATACACACATGTATACATACGTGTGTATATATGTATACATATGTACATGTATGTATGTATGCATATATTCGTGTATATATACATATATATGTATGTGTGTGAGTAAACAGTGTGTGCCCATATCTATATATATTTGTATTTTTATCCTTCCATCCATCCATCCTTCAATTCCTCCCTCCCTCCCTCCATCCAACACCCCACCACCCACCTATCCATCTATCCTTCAGTCCCTCAATTCTTTCCTCCCTCCTTCCACCTATCACCATTCATCTATCCATCAATCACTCATTTCCTCTCTCCCTCCTTCCACCCATCCATCCGTCCATCCACCCCTCCAACCACTCATCCACCCACCCACCCATTCATCCACCCCCAATCACCCATTCATCCATTCATCCACCCCTCCACCCATCCATCAACCCACCCCCCACCCACTCATCCACCCCCCACCCACTCATCCACCCATCCACCCCTCCATCCATCCACCCCACAACCACCCACCCATCCATCCACCCACCCACCCACCAATCCATCCATCCACCCCCCTCACAACCACCCATTCATCCATCCATCCATCCATCCATCCACTCATCCATCCACCCATTCCACCCCTCGAACCATACATCCACCCACCCACCCACCCACTCACCCCTCCATCCACCCATTCCACCGAACAACACAACAGCTGACTCTGTATCACAGCTGATCGGAAGCACGTGGAGACATGTCAACGGCCAACGTGATTGAGCGAGATTCGGCGTGAGTTTGCGAGAAGTGGGCGTGGCTAAGTGGTGGGTGAAAGCCCTATTCCCCCCCCCCCCCCCCGTCATTTGTTTTCTGTGAATAGCAGAAATAGCAGTAGTTGTGATAGTAGTTGAGAGAAGATGTTTATTACTGCGGGTGGGTTCAGGTCGATGGCTGATCAATTCACGTTTTCGATTAATTATTCAGTTTTTTTTCTTTACTTATTTCGTCATTATCGGTGTTATAATTTTTGTCACTATTATGAATCATGTTGTTATTATCGTTGATCTGGCTGCTTTGTTGTTATTGTTATCATCAACATTATCATTACAATTATTATCCGTGTTGCTATTTTTTTTTCTATTATCATTCATTATCAGCATATACACCATTTCTATTTTAATTGACATTATTGATATTATTACTTTTATCATCATTATTATAATCATCACATTATTATTATCATCATCATTATAATCATCACATTATTAGTATCATCATCATCATTATCATCATCAAAATTATCATCACCACCATTATCATCACCATAACTATCATCATCACTATCATTACTATTACTATCATTATTCTTATTTCTACATACCATTCTCCACGCAACGAGAACTACAAAAAACACAAGAAATCAGTTGCAAACACTTCCTTATCTGCAACGGATTTACAAACAAATTGCTATGTTGTCTTACATCGACCTTGCATGTCTAAAGTGGAGGTAATTGTGCAACCGAGAAAAAAAGTGATTAGTCACGATTGTTATGGTTCATTAGGCAATTAATTGTTTGTTGACAGAAAGGGACGAGAAGGAAGTGTTATTTTGTTCATTTCGTTGTTTTTTTGTTTTGTTTTGTTTGGTCGTTGATGGTTTGATGTAGGGTAAATGGGACAGGAAGTGAGTTTTTCGGAGATAATAAGGTAATTGGTTAAAGTAGATATAAACTCAGCTTCCCCTCTTATTTTATCGATAATTAAAGCAGTTTTGATAATTACCTTGAAGGTTATGCACTTCCAGCGAAATTGGCGATGCGCAAATAGTCTTTGCGGAAACAAGAGACATACAAGTACATCATGTTTTTTTTAAAGTCTTTCTTAAATTTTCCTTGACAGATACATGCAAAGTGTGTGTGTTTGTTTGTGTGTGCGTGTACATGTGTGTGAAGTTTTACACTTTTTTCGTGTTTTTTTTCTCTCTCTCCGTTCCCTTTCCTCCCACCCACTTTCTCAAGGAACCTCCAATATATCTTTTGTCCCCCTCTTAACTAACCTTGAGCGATCACTGGACTGTGCTTAGTCTGCTATGGAGGCAAAGGGTGTGGTCAAAGGAATTCCTCGGGTTTCTCTCCTGATAGTCTTGCCTATCTGCCTGTCTGTCTGTCTGTCCCTGTCTCTCTCGCTCTCTCTCTCTCTCTCTCTCTCTCTCTCTCTCTCTCTCTCTATATATATATATATATATATATATATATATATATATATATCTTTCTCTCTCTCTCTCTCTCTCTCTCTCTCTCTCTCTCTCTCTCTCTCTCTCTCTCTCTCTCTCTCTCTCTCGCTCGCTCGCTCGCTCGCTCGCACGCTCTCTTTATCTATCTATCTATATCTATTCATCTATACCTATCTGTCTCTTTCTCCGTCTATCAGTCTACCTATCTACCAGTCAGTGCATCTATCTATCTATCTCTCTATCTATCTATCTGTCTATCTACCTACCTCTTTCTCCTCCCAGAAACCCCTTCTCCCTTCTGCTCTCCTTTTCTCCTTCTACTTCTATTTCTAACCCCCCCCCCCCACGAACACGAAGAGATAAAGATCGGAAATAGACGGAATCATCAAATCACGCCCACCGAGTCATGCCCGTCTGACCTTCTGACCACGCCCACGCTATTTATTAGGCTCCTCCCACTTAGCCCCACCCTGCTGAGGCCTACATAAGAAGAGGCGGGGGGAGGGAAGGAGGGAGAGAGAGAGAGAGGGGGGGATGGAAGGAGAGAGAGAGAGAGAGAGGGGGGGGAGGGAGGGAAGAAGAGAGAGAGACAGACAGAGGGGGGAAGTAAAGTAAAGGAGCAAAAAAGAGAGGAAGAGAGAGAGAGAGAAAAATACATAACAGACATGTAGATAGAATGATAGACAGATAGATACATAGAGAGGGAGAGAGATAAAGGAAGACAGAGGGAGAAAAGACAGAAAAAAGAGAAGAGAAAGACCGAGAGAAAAGAAAAAGAGAATAGAGAAAGAGAAAGAAAGAGAGACAAGATTCATTCTTGACATAGATCGAAATATAATGGTCATAATTTCCCCGTAAAAAAAGGACAGGAAAATCACCACCAACCACGAGGGTCAGTCAGACGCCAATGTAAAAAGAAAGAAAGAATAAAAAATAAAAATAAAAAATAAAAAAAAAACAGCAGATGGACAGCCCTCAAGAACACAGCAGAAGAAGCAGGGAAAGTGTCGGGCAAGCAGTTCAGACAAGCAGGAGGAGGGGAGAGAGGGGGAAGGGGAAAGGGAGAGAGGGGGAAGGGGAAAGGGAGAGAGGGGGAAGGGGAAAGGGGAGAGGGGGAAGGGGAAAAGGAGAGAGAGGGGGAGGGAGGGGAAGGGGAAAGGGAGAGAGGGGGAGGGGGAAGGGGAGAGAGAGGGAAGGGGAAAGGGAGAGAGGGAGAGGGGGAAAGGGAGAGAGGGTGAAGGGTGAAGGGGAAAGGGAGAGAGGGGGTGGGGAAAGTGAGAGGGAGAGAGAGAGGGAAGGGGAATGGGAGAGAGGGAGGGAGAGGGAAGGGGAGAGAGGAGGTGGATGGGTAGGGGGAAAGGAGGTAGGGGAGAGCGGGGGAAGGGGAGAGACGGCTATGGAGAGGCTAGAGGGAAGGGGAGAAAGGGGGAGGGGAAGGGGAGGGAGGCAAGAGATGGTAGAGTAAAAGCGTGGGGGGGGAGGGGGGAGGTAAGAGGGGAGGGCTATCATGACATGCTGTCATCTGCTCGTGTGTGAAGGTTTATGAAAGGAGAGAGAGGGGGGGGGGGGGACTGGATACAGGTACATCCACACATATACATATCATTTTGCATAGCTACATATCTATACATATATGTGTATGAGTATATGTGCGCCTATATCCTCTTATTTATCTTATGGATACATAATTTTGGATACATAATACAGTACGCGTTTATATACGAATAACACCCCATGCAATTCAAGAACAACGGAGGCATGACAAACTATCAAGCAACAATCTATTGACGGACCGGCGAGAAAAAACAGAATATGTTCGCAAGTGTCACGATTCAACCATCTGTGCGTGTATGCGGCATATGTGTGTATCTGTGTACATTACACACACTCATACATACAGATACACATATACTGTCTCACATACTCACACACACAGACACACACACCTGCACACACACACATGCACGCAGACACACACACACGCAGACACACACACACACACACACAGAGAGAGAGAGAGAGAGAGAGAGAGAGTAAAGACACAAACGCCTTTCCTTTTCTCCTTCAATATCCCCTACGAAAAGCAAGCGCCAAGAAAAGACAGATCCGATCGCCTGTTCCCTAAATCAGCGTCGCCAAATCGCATCGGATCTCCTCGTGACGCGAAATTGATGGCGAGGGAGAGACGAGAAGGGGAAAGGGGGGAGGGAGAAGGGGGGAAGGGAGGGAGGGAGGGAGGGGAAGGAGGATTAACTGATAAAGGGAACGAGAAAAAAATGAAGAGAGAAAGGGGTTGGAAGTGGGTATGGCAGAGGGGGGGGGGCGAGGGAGGCAAGGGAAAGGGGTAGATAGAGGAGGGAGGAGAGAAGAAAAGAGAAGAAAAAAGAATGAGTGAGAGAGAGAGAGAAAGAGATGGATATAAGATATGAAAAAAAGATATTCAAAATTCGATTTAAACCCCTTGACCAATCTTCCAAATACTTTCAAATTCCTCACGTAACACCTTCTTTGCCAAAGGACGAACTTGGACCCTTTTCCCCAAGGCGCATCAGCCTTACCCTGTACAAAGGAGGAGCCTAACCCCCGCCCATTGCAGGCTGA